CTCCTACCCCCCTGGTTGGCCCAACCGAATTGGTCGAACCAAGTGGGGCCAATCACGAGGGGGAGGCCGAGGAGGAAGACGCTGAGCCACAAGGGACGGAGTCTCTTGTCGATGCCGAAAAGACTGTGACCGCAGCCGAGGGCGGTGATGAGAACGCTGAGAAGTCGGATGCCAACTCTCAGATGCATTTTCCTATCTTGGTATTGTGCCCGTTTATCTTTCTTTTTTTTTCTTTTGAAGTTATCTTTTGTTCTTTGCTTGTTTTGTTGTGTTTTTTTTGTGTTATCATTCTCGCCCTAGGTTTTGGATTGTAAAGGTCGAGACGATGTTGCTTGTAATGAACTTATGGAAATTATCTTTCATGAATATTGATATTATCTTGCTCGTTTTTTGTTCATCGCATTCTACCGCTTTTCTTTGTCTTTGCATTGTCGCGGATGTTTGTAGTAATTGAGGTTGTCTTTCCTTACCTCGTCTTCTCCCAACCCCTCGTGCGAGCTGGTCGAAGTCGAGCGGTGATTTTAACAACTTCATAGCTGTTAAATAAGTTTTTCGAGTCGCCTTCTCCTAACCCCTCGTGCGAGTTGGTCGAAGTCGAGCAGTGATTTTAACAGCTTCATAGCCGTTAAACAAGTTTTTCGAGTCGCCTTCTCCCAACCCCTCATGCGAGCTGGTCGAAGTCGAGAGGTGATTTTAACAGCTTCATAGCTGTTAAACAAGTTTTTCGAGTCGCCTTTTCCCAACCCCTCGTACGAGCTGGTCGAAGTCGAGCGGTGATTTTAACAGCCTCATAGCTGTTAAACAAGTTTTTTGAGTCGCCTTCTCCCAACCCCTCGTGCGAGCTGGTTGAAGTCGAGCGGTGATTTTAACAGCTTCATAGCTGTTAAACAAGTTTTTCGATTCGCCTTCTCCCAACCCCTCGTGCGAGCTGGTCGAAGTCGAGCAGTGATTTTAACAGCTTCATAGCTGTTAAACAAGTTTTTTGAGTCGCCTTCTCCCAACCCCTCGTGCGAGCTGGTCGAAGTCGAGCGGTGATTTTAACAGCTTCATAGCTGTTAAACAAGTTTTTCGTATGGACCACCTAGTCGCGCCCGCAGGTTTGATTAGGCGTTCTTCGATATGTCGGTGTGTAGTGTCATGGTGGGTTAGTCGTTGTCGCAGTTGTAGGCCTTGTAGCCTCACCGAGATTCCACTCGGCACAACTTCGTTTTATTTAGTCGACTTTGTAGGCTTCCTAGCCTCATTGAGATTCCACTCGGTAGAACTTCGTAGTTGTTTTGTCGACTTCGTAGTCGCAGGCTTCGCAGCCTCATCGAGATTCCACTCGGTACAACTTCGTAGTTGTTTTGTCGACTTCGTAGTCGCAAGCTTCGTAGCCTCATCGAGATTCCACTCGGTACAACTTCGTAGTTGTTTTGTCGACTTCGTAGTCGCAGGCTTCGTAGCCTCATCGAGATTCCACTCGGTACAACTTCGTAGTTGTTTAGTCGACTTCGTAGTCGCAGGCTTTGTAGCCTCATCAAGATTCCACTTGGTGCAACTTCGTAGTTGTTTTGTCGGCTATATAGCCGTTTTGAGAAATTCGGTATTTCAGCAGTTATAGAGTTCAATATGAAAATGTAAAGGACACATAAACTTGAAATTCATTTCATTACCAAATTTGATTCAAATGTTCGATATAAGAATTCAAAATGTTGCCCTTTAGGCATAAAAACGTTTGAGATGGATCACATGCCAAGATCGCGGCAGTTGCCGGCCTTCTCCGTCCTCGAATTCGTATGCGCCCCTTTCTAGTACCTTTGTTATGGTATAGGGTCCTTCCCAATTGGCCTCGAGCTTTCCGTCATGCTTCAGAGTGTCCGCTCGCTTGAGGACGAGATCTCCTAATTGAAAACGCCTGGTTCGGACTGTCTTATCAAAAGCTGCGCGCATCTTTTGTTTATAATCAACGGAACGTAACCAAGCTTCTTCTCGCCCCTCTTCGATCAGGTCGAGGGCTTCTTTTGCCATATCCTCATTCTTTTCTTCCTCAAAAAAATCGACCTTTGCGAGCTTAGTGCAATTTCTACTGGCAGGAGCGCATTCATCCCATATACCATACGACTGGCCTGTCGAGCTTCTCGGCGTCGTCCTATATGCCCATAGGACAGTTGTTAATTCATCAATCCAAGCTCCCAAAGCCTTCTCTAATCGTTTCTTTAGCCCTTGAAGAATGGTCCTGTTCGTCACCTTGACTTGCCCGTTGGCTTGGGGGTGAGCAACCGAGGTGAACCTTTGTTTGATTCCCATGTCGAGGCACCATGCTTGGATTCGCTTCCCCTGGAATTGGGTTCCATTATCTGAGATCAACACCTTTGGGATTCCGAACCGACAACAGATATTGTTGAACAGGAATCGTATCATCTTTTCCTCGGTGATTTTCGCCAGGGGCTCTGCCTCGACCCACTTACTGAAATAATCGACCGCGGCTACCAAAAACTTCCTTTGTCCTGTCCCCATTGGCAATGGGACCACCAAGTCGATTCCCCATTGAGCAAAAGGGATCGAACAATTGATTGTCGTCATTGTTTCGGCCAGGATATGGGGAATTCGATCATGGCGTTGACATCTTTCGCATCTTCGCACTAACTGCTCGGCCATCTTTCGGATTTTTGGCCAGTAATAGCCTGCTCGCAGAGCTTTGCCAGCTAAAGCTCAAGATCCCACATGCGCTCTGCAACACCCATCGTGAATTTCTTTTAGGACATAACTTCCTTCCTCCTCAGAAACACATCATAAATGGGGCCCTACCATCGATTTCTTATACAAAATCCCTTCGACTTTAAAATATTTGCTCAAATATCGGGTTGCTTTCTCCGCCTCTTGCTTATTTCCTCTTGGAACTCGACCTTGTAACAGTTCGTGAATTGATTTTCTCCAGTCATCCTTCTCGTCAACCTCCATTGCCTCGCCTAAGATGCTTCCTTCTAGGTGCATAGTAGTAATGCGATTTCCCATCTTTCCTTCATTTGAACTCGCGATTCTTGCGAGCCAATCGGCTCGCTTATTCTTCTCTCTAGAGACTTGTGTTAGTTCGAATTTCTCCAAGCCTTGCACCAAGTTTTGGATTTTCTCTACATATTTCATTATTCGGTCCTCCTTAATCTCGCAATTCCCAAGTACTTGTCCGACAACATGTTGCGAGTCGGAGTGTGCTATGATCTCCGCTGCTCCACCACCGATTGCGAGCTGATTTCCTTTGATTAGTGCCTCATACTCCGCCTCGTTGTTCGAGGCCTTAAATCCCATTCTGATGGCGAAGTCGAGTTGCTCGCCTTCGGAAGATATGAGGACAACTCCTAAGCCAGACCCCTTGGCTGCCGAGGATCCATCGACATGCATCATCCATTTCTTCTCTTCCCCCTTAGTTCCTTCTTGAATAAAATCTGCTAAAGCTTGGGCTTTTATGGCTCGCCTTGGTTCGTATTTGATGGAGTATTCACTTAGCTCGACCGCTCACTTCACAAGTCGACCTGAAATATGGGTCGACTCAAGGTCTCTCCGAGCTGGAAGTTCGTCCTCACCACTATCACATGATTCATGAAATATGGCCTCAACTTTCTTTCCGTTATCAGTAGAGTCAAAGCGGCTTTCTCGAATTCAGAATATCTTGTCTCTGTGCCCTGAAGTACTTGACTTGTATAATAAATCGGCTGCTGGGCTCCTCCTGCTTCTCGCAACAATACTGAGCTTAAGGAAAATATTCCCACCGAGATGTAAAGCACCAGCTCGTCGCCGGGTTCTGGTTTTGTTAATAGTGGTAACTCGCTTAGAAATTCTTTCAATTTTTCGAATGCCATTTGAGCCTCGTCATTCCATTGAAAAGCTTTCTTTTTAAGCAACTTGAATAATGGGAAACTTCTCTCCGCTGCTCGAGCGATGAACCTGCTCAGGCCAGCAATTCGACCCGTCAAGACTTGTACTTCTCTAATGTTCTTTGGTGGGGCCATGTCGAGTATGGCCTTTAACTTATCCTTGTTCACTTCAATCCTCTTTCAGTCACGACATAACCAAGGAATCGTCCTGACTTCACTCCGAAAGCGCACTTACTCGGGTTTAACTCATCCCAAATGTCCGTAATGTCTTGAACGTTTCTCTTAGATCCTTGACATGGGAGGTCGAGGACCTACTTTTCACCAGGATGTCGTCCACATACACTTCCACATTACGCCCGATCTGCGGCTTGAACATTTGATCCATCAGCCTTTGGTATGTCGTCCCCGCAGTTTTAAGCCCAAAGGGCATGACGACGTAGCAATACGTCCCTTTGCTCGTCACGAAGCTAACTTTGCTTTGGTCCTCGGGTGCCAGCAGAATTTGATGATACCCCTGGGATGCGTCCATTATACTTAGCAGCTCGCAACCTGCTGTGGAGTCAACTAACTGATCAATTCTCGACAAGGGATAGTGATCTTTTGGGCACGCCAGGTTTAAATCACGAAATTCGATGCACATGCACCACTTATTCAATGCTTTCCTTACCATCACCGTGTTGGATATCCATTCGAGAAACTGGATTTCTTTAATATGCTTGGCTTTGAGCAACTTTTCCACCTCGACATCAATTGCTTTATCGATCTCAGCTCCATGATGCCTAAGTCGCTGCTTAACGGGCTTTTTGAGGGGATCGACATTGAGTTTGTGTTCCATGATATCCGGGTCGATTCTCGTTAACTCCTCAGGAGAGAAAGTGAATATGTCTCTAAATTCTTTCAACAATTCCACCAACTGTTTCCTCAACTCATTCTCCAATTCACTCCCGACCTTGGTGGTTTGGTCCTCTCTCTCTCTCCGATCTGGATTTCCATCAATTCTCCATGTGGCTCGAGGTCGCTTCCCCTCGGCCTATTTTCGCTCGACATTTGCTTCTTTCCTTCCCTTACCTCCACTCGCTGGTTTGTTCTCACCTCTATTTGATAACAGGTTCTCGATAGCTTATGGTCTCCTCGGGCCTCCCCTACACTATCCCCAACAAGGAACTTTAGCTTCATATGGTAGGTCGACACCACTGCCTGGAATGCGTTGAGTCCCGGTCTACCAAGAATCACATTATAAGTAGACTCGACGTCGACTACAACGAACCGCACCATCTTTACTTTCTTCAAGTCGTCTTCCCCCAAGACGACAACGAGTGTGGTTTCTCCTAGGGGAGCGACTTTCGATCCATTGAACCCAAAGAGTGATGTGTGTAGAGGCGTAAGCTCAAGGTCGAGTTCCATCCATTTGAGACAGTCATAAAAGATCACATTTATCGAACTCCCTGTGTCGACAAAGATTCTCTGTACTTCACAACCCGATACTTGGACGGTTATCATCAAGGCATCATTGTGAGGCCTCTCGACCTCTCCCACATCTGCTGGCCCAAAATTCATCACTGGGCCTTCCTCATTGACTTGTTGCACCTCGACCTTGTGGTATCTCCCTCGGGCATACGCTTTCCTTGCTCGATTTGAGTCTCCATCGGTCGGCCCACCAAAAATCATATGAATCACTCCCCTTTTCGGGGGAAACTCCTCCGATCGCCCTCTTACGAGGGCTTTTGCTCCTTTATCTCTTTCGGCCCATCCTCTCGCCATCTTTATATATGAATTCTTTTAAATGGCCCGCTTTTATCAACCTCTCGATCTTGTCTTTGAGGTGTCTTCAATCGTCGGTATTATGCCCACAATCTTTGTGAAATCGACAATATAGGTTGCTTTTAGGTTTTGTTGGTCCGTCATTCCTCGTCTTAGACCATCTCACCACATCGTCACGAATCTCCCTTTCCATGACCTCGAGAATCCTGGCTTGGGGGACCGCCAGAGGGGTGTACTGGGTAGGCCTCCAACTCCGAGGTCGTCCCTTTTTTTCAGCTCGTGGGGACCTCTTTCTCTCCCCAGTCGAGGAGCTCTTCCTCTCCCTCCTCTCGTCCCGAGAGTCAGTTTTGATTACTCTAGCCATATGCAAGAAGTCGGCTTCTGCCTCCTCGACATTTATATATTTCGCACATCTTCTCAGTACTTCATCGAACGTTCTTCCTGGGCGCTTTGCCAAAGAATTCCTACATAAGCCTGGTAGTAGCCCTCAAGTCAAACCTCCCGCCTTTATTTCCTCCGACGCCCTGGGCACCTCGACGCATGCCCGAGTGTATCTCGCCACATAATCTCGCAGCGACTCACCTTCCTTCTATTGTATGCCCATCAAAGTTAGATACGACTTCTCCTATGGTCTAACATTCGCGAATTGATTGAGAAAACTCGAGCTGAATCTGTCGAAATATTTGATGGCTCCCGGAGGCAGTTGATGGAACCAATCTTGGGCAGAGCCCTTCAAGGTTGTCAAAAAGGCTCGACATTGCACTGGATCGTTATATCGATGGAGCACCGCCATGTTCTCGAAGCTCCTCTTGTGTCGAGACGGATCGGTCGACCTGTCGTAACTTATGTTTAGGTCACGGAAACCTTGGGGTAGGTCGGCGTCGAGGATGTGCCGCGAGAATGGATGTCCCCTTGAACCACCAGTTTTCCGCCCCTCGACTCGGGCTTGTAAATCGCGAACTTAGGCCAACAACTGCTCCAATGTCTCATCTCTCGCTTGCGGGTTAACAGTCCTGATGGAGGATGCCTCCTCTTCCGCCAACCTGTTCGGCCTCTCATTGGACTGGGCCTGGTGCTCGCTCGACATTAGGCTCGACCGGGGCTGTTCGACCCTGGGCTGCTCGACCCTGGGCCGCTCGACCCTGGGCCGCTCGACCTGGGCGTGCTTCAGTTGAGCTGCCACTTCTTCTGTTATCATCTTTTGCATTTCTCCTCTCGTCATCGTCACCGTTTTCTCCTCGACGTGATGACGTACAAGTGCCTGCTCTGGCTCTTGCTGGATCTGTTTTCCCTCACATCGAGGCATCTCCGTTGACTCCCTTCCTTCACTCGAATTGGGGTTTTGGCTTGCTTCTGCTGAGGTCAGCACCGGTATCTTCACTCCGGGTGGAGTAATGGGCTTTTCTCCACCTAGATTTACTCCTGGAGGTGGAAGTCCTCAATACGGTGGCAATCCCAACACCTGCATCACTGGAGGTCTAGAGGCGGATAGATATGGCGGTCTCCTATCTGTCCAAGCTCCCCTAAACTCATCATTTAAGTTCCTCTGCAAACCCTCATTCTCAGCCATAAGAGACAGATCGGAGCTAGGTGTAAAAGCTCTTAATTCCTTCAAGAACTTCCCACAGACGACGCCAAAATAATGGGTCTCTTCCCAGATCTGGAATGAACCGATAGAAACAAGCTCAGATCTGGAATGAACCGATGGGAATGAGCTTAGATCCGTCTAAATAGCCTTCGCGCTGTCTGGACCGCGATAACACCTGCAAAAACTCAATGCCAGAGGGGTTTCCGGCATAGAGCCTCCGACGCTCAAGTCAGTATGTGGAAGAGGTGAAGAGAAGCTGCTCAGAGAGAGCAGCAACAGAAGAGGGGAATATGGAATGAATGGAAGTTAGGGTTTAGGGCTACCTCTTCTCTTTTATATAGGAGGGAGAATTTACCTGAGATGTCCAAAATGCCCCAAGTCGGTGGTCCTAAAAGGTCCAAATTGCCCCGGTCGATTCATCTCCCCTCCTTGCTGAGTCACCCCTCAGATTCCCTCTTATCTGTAGGTGGACAAGGGGTTTTAATGAGTGAGCCAAGTGTATGGAGTCGACTGTATGCTTCATGCCTCGAGGTATGGAGTGTCAACCTCGAATACCTCTTTACTTACTCAGGTTCCCACTGCTCGGGGGTTATGTTCTTGTAGATTCTCGAATACACGTCGACCCCGAATAGGTCGACTGACTCAAGTCGACCTTTATGAGTCGACCTGTACAGGGTCTAACTTTCTGATACGCTGCGTTAAGGCCGGGTCGACTTTGAACGAAGTCGACTTAAACACCTCATCGACCCGAGTCGATGCGCTGGCGGAGCTGATGGTCTTTAAGTCGAATAGAGAGCCTTAGGACCAGTATATCTTTATAGGGCTATATCAGGTGTTAGTTGGGAGATGAAGATGAAATGAGGCTAAGTGTGCTAAGTGTGATATTTATAGGAGAGGGGAAGACTAGGGTTTGAATTGTTGTTGGGCTTTAAAACTGAGATTAAAATTACTAACACTCGGGCTTCAAAATCGAGCTATCTAATCGGGCTAAATAATAACCGAACATTGGACTTGGCTTATAGTAATTCGTTCAGGTAATTTAAAAATATAACGAGACTTAGACTAAATTAATTTAGTCGGTCGACTTTATTAAAACAATCGGGCCGAAATTTAAAAACCGACTATAGGCTCGATTTTTAAAATGGACTAAAATCAAATTCAACATGGGCTCGGTTTACTTATGGGCCGAAATAAAATTGAACTTAGGCTCGAATAACTCAAATGGGCCTACTAAAATAATTGGACTCGCTCGAAAATGATTAGGCTCGAATAGATTAAATATTTGGCTTCGGTCCGCTTAAATAAAATTTCTGATTTATCCAAGGCTTGGTTTTAAAAATAGAACCGATACTTGAGCTAAATAAATCCGATTTTAATAATTAAAATCGAAAAAATTCTCCATGGCTTAGACTTTAAACTGATTACTCGATTTAATGCAAATAATAATAATAAATGCATCAAATATCGAAACTGGCTATTTATGGAAATAAAGTCGAGCTCTATAAATAGTAAGTAATATTTTGGGCGTTACACTTTCTCTCTCCTCATTTTTTCCCAAAATCAGAAAACCCGTTCGCTTCTCCATTTTTTATCTTCCCTCTTCACTGTCGCTGCTCCGCTACTTCGTGGAGCCGACCAACACTGTGGCGCACATTATCTTTGTCTGTCATGCTCCAGGCATGTACCGGTGTGGCGCTTCTCCCTTAAAAGGGTAGCTATGGCGGGGCTTCCAGCGGGTTTTGGCGGATAGCGGAGAAGACAATAGGGAGGGCCGTTCGTTTCTCTTGTGGCAGCAGCGTTGGGGCTGGTGTCTTTATATTCCTTATGTTCTTTTCGCTTTCATGGTGTTGGATGGAGACTCTCATCTTGCAGCGAATTTTTGTTCTCGGGTTGGGTTTGGCTGCAATTGTCGTCGGGGCTTATGTTGAGGGAGGTGATAGGTGCTGGCCTTTGCGTGTTGTTCTGGGGTTGTTTCTTTTGAAAGAAGGTTTGATTCACGGGATGGCGGATCTATATAACTGTTTTTATGCCATGATTAACAACGAATATAAACGTAAAGATGTGTAAATTGATACAAGCAATAAACAGAAATGACGTCGGTTTTTATTGGATATGGATTGAGATAATGTTCAGGGTTTATTACAAGACATAGAATGTTCCAACCCTTTTCTGAGGTTTTGTCTTGCTTATTTATAGTGCGGTGGCCCACTGTACGAGGTTGGTAAGATGGCATTTAATGTAAAGGAGAAGTCAAAGGCGGTCAGCTGCCACTTGTGTTTGTTGTTTGCCACCTGTATAATAGTTATGATGATGGGTCTAAGCTGTCACTGCCTCATGATACTGATAAGTATACACGGCCGACGTCGGTGAGTTAGGTCTCGTCTAATAAAAGATGTCGGTTGAAAGGATGAAGGCAACGCCTCAGTCATCTTTTTAGCAAATAACGATGTCGGCTTTTAGTATCAATGTCGGTTCTTAGTCCGCTGTACCGATGTGACGACACTTGAAACTTGCGAGCTCAAGATTCCCAAGTTGGTGTAACCCTGTATCATTAATGCTCGGTAGTTTTGTGTTAATAACCTTCGATAATTTGGCTTGGCGAGAACCATATCAACAGGCGGCCCCCAGCATTAATAGGCGTTTGGGAAGGAACGGGTATTGATGCTGTAAATCGTCACAAGAATTTTGATCTAAAATGATTCGGACATGTCGGTTTCCAGCTGTTACATTCCGACGTCTCATCTCTTGGTGTGAGAAAGAAACTTGAAGTTGAATCAGTGCGACTTTCCTTTATTAAATGTAACGCTTGCTGATAAGGCAACAGTTACTTTTTATAGGCCACGTAGCCGTTATTGATAGGCGCAGGTTCCAAAGGTCGTATTTACTCGTGAAAAGAAGAGGTGTAGTACACGCGCCCCTCTTTCGCTTCCTTTCCAACGGTTATTTTTGGGTCTAGGGTAAAGTATAAATAGTGAACCGCCTTTTGGTCTTATTTCACCTTTAATTTCCCTACAATCTGACTCTTTAATTTTTGCTTCCTTCGATTCTTCAGTTTGTCGCTCAATTCTTCAAAGTGCTTTTTTCAGATCTACAGTCTTCTTCTTGTGGTAAGATTTATCTCCTTGCTTTGCTTATCTTGTTCGGTATAATTTTCTTCAAATCATGAGTGTATCGTGGGTGTCTTCAGGTGACGACGAATTAGATATTATGATGATTAACATGGTTCATTCCGGAGAGATGGAGTTACTTTTGGAGTATCATCGATGGGATTCAGCTTTCGTCGAGGATTTAAACATTCAATTAAACGACACCGAAGGAGTAAAAAGGTGGAAGAAAACGCGATAGATGATCCGGAGTACTGGAGACGGCCTGCGAGGAGATGGCCAGACCCTTCGATAGATTTTCATGGTGAAGCAAGTATACTGACCGACGCGGACATCGTGATGTTGCGAAATGATATCCGAGTTCCCGCATCGGTAAAGCTGTTTGCACCTTATCCTTGGGAAAGGATTACATGTCCTCCAGTGGGATGTGTGGGTGTATTAGCCGAGAGTCTGAGATCGGGTCTACGATTTCCTCTGCCGTGCATAATTATGGAATACTTGCAAAATTGGGAACTAACCTTATGTCAAATAGCTCCGAATTCGTGGAAACGAGTCATTGGTTTGCTCGTGATTCTTGCCGAGAAGAAGTGGGACCTACCCTCGGCGAGTGATATAAGGAGCATGTTTACTTTCTGGGAGAGCCGAATAGATAAGTCTCAGATCCACTTCTTACTTTTTTCATCGTCGGTAAACCTCAGTCAAGAGTCAAAGTCGGTGAGCTAATAACGGAGGTCCCCGAAACACTCCATGGTTTTCAGGAAGAGTGGTTGTGGGTTGGCGGAGATTGGCAGTGTGCCAATTTTGCTAATGACCTTCTTGCCAACGGGACAAGCATCCCAATGGCTGCTAAATCCGCTTATTGTAAGTTGAATTCTCTTTATTCTCCATTCGTATTATTAATTACTCGTTTTCTGTTTTTGCTAACAAGTGGCCTTTTGTGACATTGTAGCCAAACCACAAGGGATGAAAGAACCTCGATTTGAGGGAGAGCTATATAACCGAGTAGACAAACTTTTTTAGCTTTCTTCGAACAAGCGAAGGTATCAACGTCTCGTGAAGGATTCCCGGTTGGAACTTGTTGGTTTGTCACCTAGAATTCTAGATTCTACTTTTCTTCCTGGTAAGGACATCGGTCCCTTATGAGTTATTTTCCTTCACATTTTGCTTCGAGTATCTTGATAGTGACCTAAAATTATTTAAATCGCAGTGTATTATCCATTGCTTGGATATTTCGGCTTCAGAGATCCTGTGGAAGCCGAGGATTATAAGAAACGCAACCCTAATTTGGATTTGAAAAATAAAGTCGGCAAAGGTAAACACTTGAGGTCGACCGAAATGGCGGGACGCATGAATCTGCTTAAAGCTTGGAAGAAGAATCCAGCTAGTTCCCGAAGTGCCACCGGCGAGCCTTCAGTGACAAGAGAGGAACCGACTCCATCTATCCAAAGTGGCCCGGAGGTGACTGTTCAACTGATAACAACCGTGGCTGTCATGGAAGAGCCGGTAGAGCAAGCGATAATGCCGGTAAACGAACTGATGACCGAGGTTGAAGTTTCTCAGGAGGCGTCTGAGGATCCGGGCTTAAATTTGGTTAGCCGCCGCAAGAGATCAAGAGTTTCTCATGTGGCCGAGCGGGCCAAAAAGAAGCAGGACA